TAACAGATAAGAACAAGTTCCAGTACTCAAGATGCCTACAGTATAGGAGTGAAAACAGACTTGAAAATAGATCATTGTCACACTGTGTAATATTTCAATGGTATCCCTCCATTGAAATATTATTAGAAGGGTATCTGAGGTATGGTTAGTGAAGGTTTTCTAGAGAAAGTATTGCCTGAGCTAACAGTAGTATAAAGGAAATGTACTTCATTTCTCAGAAATAGAAAAAACTCTTAACTGAACATAGAATTGACAGAAAAATAGTAGTAGAAAGTTAGCTTGCAACTAAATAGCATAAGTCCTTTAGTGACTAGCTGTGGAGTTGGGACTTTATTCAGTTGATAAGCCATTAAAAATTACTGAGTGAAAAAATTGATCCTGTCCACTATCCATCTTGAAGCACAATAATTTATATTGATTAAATGTTTATAAAGTCAGAATTTCATAGGCTTATCTCTGGTGCTTCATCTGCTAGAACTTAAACATGCATAAAACCTCTCTGATTTACAAACATTAAAGCAAGTTTATTGAATTTGTATCACATACATTTTAACCAGATAATGATGAGGGTTTTTTTTGTTTTTGGAAGTACTGGAGTTTGAACTCAAGTCTTGAGCTTGCTAGGCAATTGCTCTACCATTTGAGCCACACCTCCATCCTTTTTTTTTTTTGCTTCAGTTATTTTTCTTGTAGGGCTCACATTTCTGTCCAGGACTGGCCTCAAGCTTCGATCCTCCTATCAGTGCCTTCATAGCTGAAGTGATAGGCACATGCCTGACTACTGGTGTAGATGAGGTCTAACTTTTTGCTCAGGCTGAAGTTGAATCACAATTTCCTGATCTCTGCCTCTTGAATGAGATTTCACTGTGCCTGGCCTTGGATAATGATGTTTAGAAGATGAGAAATGTACACAATTTCTTGTAATAGTCCCCCCATGCATTCACATTCAAAAATCTTGTTTTTTTGTAATTTTAGCAATAAATGTAGCAAATGGAGATTTATCATTAGTCATTCAGGAAGATAACTGGAGAAAAGTAGCAGGTAGCACAACAGGTTAAAGAAGAAAATAAGTGAAATCCAGAGAACACGGCAAAATATTTTGCTAATTTCTAAATATAAAGAAAAAACAATGGGCTTCATAAAACAAGATATTACAAAGGCTGAATTTCTGTCTTGGTACATTTTGTGTCCTTTTCTAAATTCTCAGGGTTTTAGGTTTTTTCAATTTTAAATAAATTTATATTATAAACCTTTGTGAGTTTCTGTGAAGACTGAATGAGCAAAAATACCTGCTACTTACCTGAGCCTTGACTTGTAATTTTGTTGCGCCTTGTATGTTTGAAGCATTGGTCTAAGCACTATCCAGGCTTTATCTTCACAATAGCCCTCATTTTGTGGCTGAGGAAACTATAGCACAGATATGGTAAGTATATGTGTAGATAATACCACACCAATAAGTAGCAGCCACAGGGTAACCCTGGCATTCTGATCTGAGATCCCAGACTGTTAACTGCTGTGTTCTTTATGTTCCTATAATCCTTCTTAAAACTGAGAACAGTATATAGTATTTGTACAACTTCACATACTTAGATTAATGTATATTTCAATGTAGTACAACCTGTTGTAATATACAAAAGTTTATTACACAGTATCTTTGCCAAACTGTAATCTAACTTTTGTATAAATGTTTCCAGGAACAAGAAACCTTATTACATTCTAAGGCAAACCATTATATAAATAATTTATCTTTATCTTGTGATAGAACTTTTGTCCACACTACCTTTTTTACCTATTGAGGATGATTCTCTGTCCTATGGGAAAATAGTAAGTGGATAGTTTTCATTTTATTTTATTTTGAGACAACTGTTTAAATGTTTAGACAGTAATCATTTCTCCCCTCATCCTGAGCTAAACACCATCAGCTATTTCACATACAACAAATTTCCACACAATTCTCAGCTGAGAGCTTTCTGCTCTGAATGCATTCTAGTTCTTTTTAATGTGCTTTTTGTAGTATCTTATAGCCCATATTCTGCATAATTTAGATTTATTACAAGACTTTTGTATCATTTACAAAAAGAAAAAGGAAAAGGAAAAAGGAAACCAAAATGTGCCCAGAATACTACTGTTCAGACAGTTATAAAGATTAAGTAGATATATTTCCTACAGTGACTGCTACCAGTTAATATTTATTGAATATCTCCCATGCACCACACCCTTTGCTAAGTTCTTTATATGTAACTTATTTATTCCTCACAGTAATCTTTCGAGGTACATGTTGTTTTCACTGTTTAACAGATGAGGACAATGAGGCAGAAAGCTGTTCAGTAACTTACCCTGTATTGCAGGTTTGCACTGGATCTGAGGGCCAGAACTGAGATTGAGATCTAGGTACTCTTACTTGCTGTTCTGGATAAAAGATAGTTCTTTTCGTGAATTGGTCTGAAAACTTTGTTTTTTTATCAATTTTCTATAAGAATGTGTCACTTACAAAATGAACTTTTGGACATTTGTAATTTGGTTAGTTCAGTTAAAATAGAAAGCTTTCCTGAATTGAATTCCAGCTAAAACTGACTTTGCCTGTTTCCTAAGTGTAAAATGTAGGTAATAGTCCCAAAAGGTTACTAGAGGACTAATGTTTATGTACATGTAAAATAATTATTTTGCTCTATGTGTAAGTGTACATATGTAGAGTCTGATAATGGTTGTATATAAGGCCTTTAAATGGTATATATCAGAGCGTAGCAATCAATAGGATAGGCCTCAGAACAGAATTAGGTTCAAATGCAGGTTTTGCCACTTACTGGCTGCTTGACCTCTCTGTGTCTTAGTTTTCTTATTTGTAACATGAGCTTGTCATTCAATATAGGATTATTTATGAGAATAATACTTGTATTTTTAAAGTACATCAGTACTGTTGATTAGTAAATTGTATATAAATATTAACGCATCCTTACTTTACATCTGTATCAAGCCATGTATCTTTATTTTCACGTAAATTAACAGATTATGTTTTCATGTTTTTGAACTAGTGAAGTTTTTGAGAGTTATAAAGCCAAACATGAAATGTGTCCATTAAACCAGGCTAGCCACTAAGTCTTAACATTACTTGAGAGGGAAGGGAACCCTAAAGCACAAATATTAAGTAATTTTTCAGTGACTGCCAAGTTACTTATCACTTGACAGCCTGGTACCCTGGTTGTGTAGCTTTTTGTTGTTGTTACAAATATGGGAGCTAGCATGGATAAAAAACAAAATGATGTGCTTCAGTATTAAGTGTTTTAGTTACTTAATTATTAGAATTATTAGAATGAATTACCAGAATAGTTAGGTATCCTTTTTGAAGTTTTTTTTTTTTAATATAAGTAACACAATATATTCTTTGTGGGACACCCTACACTTGCCTAAAATTTGATATCAGTCCATCACTGTTTTTTGAAACATTTTCCATTGTGATTAAATACCATAATAGAAAACAAAATGTGAAGGTTTGTAAACTATGCTTAAGTTATTAGCAGTTAATATTAGCAACATATTTCAAAAATTCTTAGTTTTGTTTATAAAGAATTACCTTAATAAAATTTATATAATTTTTGAATATGTATTCTGTAATCAGTGAAGTAACAAATAAGGAATTTAATTGCTGAATAGGCCAATCAGATTGCTTTGGTTTAACTTAAAAATAATAGCATTAGAAAAACTTAACACAATTGTCTAATTCAGTTTTAGAAACAAGTAATCACTTCTACAAAGCATAGAATCTTCCCTAACAGGTGGTTCTGGAACTTAAATATTTCCTTTGCTTAAATTCATTGAATTTTTGTATTACCTATAATACAAAAGGAGATTCTGTTTAGGTAACTTCAAGCTCATCTCAAACGCTATTCTTTATTCTGTGAAAATACTCAAAAGGTTTTTCTTTTTTTTTTTTTTCATTTTATTATTCATATGTGCATACAACGCTTGGGTCATTTCTCCCCCCTGCCCCCACCCCCTCCCTTACCACCCACTCCGCCCCCTCTTTCTCCCCCCAACCCCCTCAATACCCGGCAGAAACTATTTTGCCCTTATCTCTAATTTTGTTGAAGAGAGAATATAAGCAATAATAGGAAGGAACAAGTGTTTTTGCTAGTTGAGATAAGGATAGCTATACAGGGAGTTGACTCGCATTAATTTCCTGTGCATGTGTGTTACTTTCTAGGTTAATTCTTTTTGATCTAAACTTTTCTCTAGTTCCTGGTCCCCTTTTCCTATTGGCCTCAGTTGCTTTTAAGGTATCTGCTTTAGTTACTCTGAGTTAAGGAAAACAAATGCTAGCTAATTTTTTAGGTGTCTTACCTATCCTCACCCCTCCCTTGTGTGCTCTTGCTTTTATCATGTGCTCAAAGTCCAATCCCTTGTTGTGTTTGCACTTGATCTAATGTCCACATATGAGGGAGAACATATGATTTTTGGTCTTTTGGGCCAGGCTAACCTCACTCAGAATGATGTTCTCCAATTCAATCCATTTACCTGCGAATGATAACATTTCGTTCTTTCATGGCTGCATAAAATTCCACTGTGTATAGGTACCACATTTTCTTAATCCATTCATCAGTGGTGGGGCATCTTGGCTGTTTCCATAACTTGGCTATTGTGAATAGTGCTGCAGTAAACATGGGTGTGCAGGTGCCTCTGGAGTAAACTGTGTCCTAGTCTTTTGGGTATATCCCCAAGAGTGGTATTGCTGGATCAAATGGTAGATCAATGTTTAGCTTTTTAAGTAGCCTCCAAATTTTTTTCCAGAGTTGTACTAGTTTACATTCCCACCAACAGTGTAAGAGAGTTCCTTCAAGAGATTTTTCAATGTTAATTTTTATTAGCATGTATTAATTATACAAGTTAATAGTTTCATGTGACATTTTTTGGCATGCATACAATGTGCTTTGGTCATATTCTCATGTCCCAGTTTTAAGCAGCAGTTGGTCCTAATAAGTAATGTTAATGTATTTTATTTACAGATTGCCCGAGGACTCCAGAGACTCCAAATAGCGACTCCCGTTGTTCTGCTGGCAACAACAGATTGATGGCTTTACAAAAGCAGTTGGACATAGAGCTTAAAGTAAAACAGGGTGCAGAGAACATGATACAGATGTATTCCAATGGGTCTTCAAAGGCAAGTAGAGTAATAAGTCTATAGTCAGTCCTTATTATTTATAGATTCCACCTTTGTGAATTCACCTACTTTCTGAAATCTGTATTTCTGACATAGTATTGGTTGCGGTTTGACAGTTGTTGGTGGACATGCAGAGAGGCATGAAATTTTGAGTCAGCTGACACACATGCCTCTGCTGAGGTCACAGGCTGATACTCTACTTTCTTAAGCCCTCATGCAATAAATAATTTTTTGAGATCTATTTAGTGCCACATTTTTCACATTTTTGTGCCTTTGTTGGTAATTTCAGTGTTTAAACAGCATATAGTGAGCCAGGTACCTGTGGCTCACACCTGTAATCCTAGCTACTTGGGAGGCTGAGATCAGGAGTATCATGGTTTGAGACCAGCCCAGGCAAATAGTTCACAAGACCCCCATCTCCAAAATAACCAGAGCAAAATGGACGGGTTGTGGCTCAAGTAGTAGAGTTCCTGCTTTGTAAGCACAAAGCCACGAGTTCAAACCCTACTTCCTCTCAAAAAAAAAAAAAAAAAACCTGGCATATAATGACTTTTGAGACCATTTTTAATTTCAGAATTGGAAAGTATAGACAAAAAAAATTGGAAACAATTGTTTTCTTAAAGCAGTATTTTAAAAATTGTTTATTTCTTTCATGGTTTCATGAGTAAAGTGTGTACAAGAACTAGCTATCTGTATTAACACATTTTCTAGAAATCTAAATTTTTTTTTCAAATGAACATTTAATTTAAAGCCTTGGGCTGTGGTGAGTTTTCTATCACCACCTACAGGTTTTTAGGAACAGGCAACTGAAAAGACTACATTCTAGAATCAGTAAATACCTACATGTATCTGTGCACTCCTGGGGATCTACTGTGGACATCGACCTCCCAGCTGAATGTCAGTGTCATGGGGAGCACTTGTCAGTAATGAGAACATATCCTTGTTCTTAAGTATAAGTGGCAGAGAAAATGTTGGAAACCATCTAGCCACATTATCCTGAAAGTTCTTTGTAATACAAGGTTCTAGCAATTCAATAATTTGTAGAGAATCTGAGGTGTGTTTATTATAAATTCTAACTTGCTACTCTTGATTCATATATTTTAAAGATCATTACCTCTGAAAAATCAGTGTCTCTTCATCTTTAGCATATATATATTTCTTGACTAACTTCAGAATTAAAGTTCTTAGATATTTATTTTTGTTCCAGTTTAGAAAGAATTTGAAATTAAAGAGAAAAGATCTTTTGTTAAAGTCATATGTCTGCTGTCCTATCCTGAACGAAGTTTAAGAAATGTGTATGTGTTACAAGTAAAACTTTTTTAAGGTTAATTATGAAAATTAGTTTGATTTTATGCAATATTTCAAAGGATTTTTTTGTTATTTTTAGAGTTTATTTTTTTATTTGTGAGATAGTAGTAGGACATTATTTTGCTAACATTTGTAATTGGATAGTAATTATTTTTAGTATTGACATTTAGTTTGGGATAGTTTTCATTTTTATCAAATGTTATTTTGGACTTTTTTTTTTTGAAGCAAATACTGTGTTCCTGTGAGTGTACTACATGATGTTGAATATTTTTTAATTAAACCGGTTACTGCCTTCTGTGGTAAGATTTTTTAAATCTGGAATTGATGGATTAGTTTGAGGGGTTTAAAAACCTTTTGAAGTTACAGCGAAAGCAAATGTGTATGTTAATAATGGGATGGATAAGAGGGCCACAGGTTTCTCCATGTTCTCAAAGTGGCCTCTAATCCCCACAAGGTTAACAAGCATCTGCTCTAAATTAGACAGGGTTATGGACATACGAAAAGTAAAATAAGAACATCAGTAAGTTATAGGAACGACAGGTCCAAAGTGAGCCGGACTGTGAGCATCCTGCTAAAACAAATATCTAATTTTTCCAATAGCGTTTTATTTTTAATTAGGAGATTAGCTTAAGAAGGATTCACTGGGAAGTCCAAAGCCTATAAGTAGCTGCCATAGTATGAGGTAGGCCTACCAGTTATTTGTCTAGATATGATGTTAAATGCTATTATTTCTCATCTTTAAACTTCTCAAAGGGTCACCATACATCTTTGAGATTGTTGGAAATTTTAAATTGCAATTATATGTATATGTATTCATTAAGGATTTAGTTAACAAAATATACTCATTATGCTAGGCTCTGGGTTATTAATATAATGAAAATGGTGCTTTAAACATAGGTCTTCAACAGACTATAATCTGTTTTCAGGAGACCTACTATCTAAAAAGGAGATATTGAATGTAAATAACTGCAGTATATAATAGTTTATTCAAGTTACCATGGAAACACCCTGAGGAAGGATCACTGAACTGCCAGAAGTCATTTAAGTGTTAGTGTAAGATTTGAAAGATGATTTGGCATTTAAGAAATACTTACCTTCTATCGATTGTGGTGTGGGTAAACCCAGTATATGCAGGATAAGAAACTGTGGAATAGTCTGATTTGTTATGGCTGATAGAGAGTAGATAGAATGTACATCTAATAGTAACAGTTGTAAACTCTAGCAGTTATTTTCAATGAAAGGTCCTCATAGGGGAACAAATCTGAATATCCAGAAAGGCACATTTTGTTTGAGATGAGTCCTCTAGTTTTTTCCAACAAGACCTTTTCTCCCTTTTTTACAGTAAACATTTAAGTGGCTGAGGCAGTATGACATTAGCATAACTGAAAGGCAAACCAGATTGTACAGTTCTTTGTACAAATTAATTAGGATTTTATCTAATAAGATGTATAGAGCTGCTAAAAGACTTCTAGCAGAGAAAATATAGTCAGATTTAACGTTTAGTAAGTTCACATCCTTCCTCTTCAGATTTGAATAATTAGAGAAGGTTAAGTCCAGAGGCAGCAAGTTTAAGTAGGCTTTTGTAGTAGTTCAGGTTAAACAGCTTCATATATCTTGAAACAGCAGTTAAAAAAAAAAAAGTGAGTGAGTGCACCTGTTGATACCGGGAATGAGGTAGAAGGCAGTCGAAGGTGATTCTTGGATCAGTTATGAGGGTAGACTGATGGGTGTATGATTATGCCCTTCACAGGGATAAATAATTCATAAGGAGGAGTACATTTAGGAACATGGATACTTAAATTCAGTTAGGCAGTGAAGTCTTGTTATGGAATTCTACACGATATAATTATTAACCTTGTACACGTATCAGCCAGAGTTGTCCTTTTAAAATTTAAGTCAGATACCCTCACCCTTCTGCTCAAAACCCTGAATGGCTTCCATCCTAGTTACAACAAAATCCTAAGCTTACCCAGACTCTGTGTGCCTACATGATTTACCCCTGATGATCTTTTCATCTCATCTTCTAAAAACACTTTTCTGTCTCATTATGCTCTAGCTACACTGACTTTTTTGCTATCTTTTGAACATAATTAGTGCATTCTTAAAATAAGGTCTTCATATTTGTTATGTTGTTGTCTAGGGATTTCTTCTCCCAAGTGTTATCATGACTTTCTTTCACTTCAGTTAGGTCTTTACTCGGATGCCACTACCCCAGCATGCTCTTCACTATTTACCATCCTAAGTAAAACAGCAGCCCTAGGCTCTTTATCCTGTACTACATTACCACCACCCAAAATTAGTTTACATGGTCAGTTTCCTTATCTGTTTGCAATATTGGAATGTAAATTTTATGTAGACCATGGGCATTGTCATGTATCACTATATGTTCAGTACTTAGAACAATACTTGCTAAACTGAGATGTTTTACCACAAATACTCAAATTTGGTAAAAGAATGAATACTGCTCTACTACCCATTCATTACCATTTATCTTCCATTGTCCCATAGTTTATGTTCTTTTCTAATTTCATATCTCTGTGTACTATAACTATTTTCATTTAACCCTTATTTGACTATGATGTTTTCATTGTTAATACAAAAATGTAAGGAATAGGATACATCTGTCTTACCGTGCTTCCTAAGGAGTCATTTATCGTACCATTTCCTCATTGGCATTTGTGGTTCTAAGCAGTACAATTGATTTTTCAAAGTACTGATGATTTTGATAAGGTATGTTGAAGAGATGATTCCTGCTCATATGTTCCAATAACAACACATTAAGCTACTTATTAAAATCTGGTATTCTTTCCTGCGTTTTGTACCTTTTCTTTTGTTGTTCCCAAGCGTTAAACTTTTTCGTCATTAGTACCTCCCCACCTCTGATCCTCTAGTCTTTTTATTTGTTTCATTTTTATTGAGATCTAATTGATACGTAAAAAGCTGGCCATATACATATACTTGTATCCATCACCAAAGTCAAGGTACTTCCAAAAACTTCCCCACTGATCTTTCATGGCTTTTTTTTTTTTTTTCTTAAACTGTTGTTGTTTGCTGTTGTTTGATTTTTTGGGGGTGTCTTTTTTTATTTGTTTGTTTTAACGATTGTTTGGTCTGGCTTTCTTTTGGTCAGAATACTTAACATGAGAAGTCTTCTAATCTTGACATTCCAAAATTCCCTGTGTTCATCACTCAGAAAACCTTTCTGAGTTCTATCAACTAATGTTAATTTCACCATTGTTTGAATTTTTTTGCCTACTTTTAACTTTCTTATGCATATAATAATGATTTCTTTTATCAAACTAATAGCTTCATAAGACTATGATCTTTGAACTTTTAGGGTTTGATGATGTTTAACATATGAAAAGTAATCCATAAATTGTAATAGAAAAGTTAAGACAATGATTGGCTCATGTATTTGAAGGTTGTGATGATGAGAGATGCAGTCTGTTGTTCCCCAAACAAAAATATCCTACTGTGACTTGCAAAACAATAAATTACTTTTATAAAATAATAATATATAACTTGAAGATGTCATAAATTTTACAGTTATTTTGCTATAAAATAGCTAGTCCAAATACAATTAACTATTAATATTTATAATACCTGTTAAGACAATATAAAATGCTAATTAATAGTTAATTGCTTTAACTAGTCTATTAGTTGAACCTTATGAAATTGCTGTCTTACCACAAAGTAAGTCAAATGCTGGTATTTTCATGTGGTTAACTCCAACATATATAAAAGTCTTCCCAAAGTCTTTTCTCAACATTAATTCTCAAATATGTAAACCAATCCATATACTTCCCCATCTCTTGCCTTCTACCTATTAGGTGCTCAATAAAAAATCCATTGAATTCCTGGAAGCACAATACTGATATTTAGTCACTGCATTGTCTGTGACAAAGGCAGTTTTAACAGCCTCTGATACTCCTAAAAATCTGTGGGAAAGTTTACTTGCTTATAAAATGAAATATTACTGTTACTCTTTGTATGTTGAATTGAAATAGTTAAGAAAAGTGTATTTCCAGGACAGGTATAGCAGTGCATGCCTGTAATCTTAGCTATTTGAAAGACAGAGATGAAAGGATGGGAGGATCATGGTTCAAAGCAGCCCTGGCAAAAAAAAAGTCTCCACCATCTCAACCAATAAAAAGCTGGCATGGTGGCACACACCTGTCACCCCAGCTATGCTGGAAACTTAAATAGGAGGATCACAATCCATGCAACCCTATCAAAAATAACCAAAGCAAGAAGATTTGGAAGCATGGCTCAGGTGGTAGAGCATGTGCCTAGCAAGTTCAAGGACTTGAATTCCAACCCCAGTATTGCCAGAGGTGTATGTGTGTGGCGAGGCGGGGCAGTGTTATTTCCAAAGAAGTAAATGATAGAACTACTGTCATTTTACAGAATTGATAATAAAATGAATTGCTTAATTGAAAAACAGTTTTATATAGTTTGCTTAATATTTACACTTTTATATTAGAACTTCATTGAAATAAGATACTTCCTTTTATTGCTCTAAAAGAATGTTTTAATGACAATTAATTCTAGGAAGTGTAATTTTAATACTGTTTAACATAAAAGGGCTATCTATATTTACAGAGCAGTATCCTTTTTAAGATAATTTCTGAAAGAGGCCTAAGACTTTCAGAAGACAGCCAGGTTTTCATCTAATACCATTTGGGCTCATGTCTGTCTGATTTCAAAGTGTATTTGTCCCATTACATTATAAGCTTGGGAATACTACACATTTTTCTTGTTTTCCTTACTCTATTCTGATCTGAAGTACATAGTTATTTCAAATCTTTGGTTTGTTTTATGTTCCCAACACTAGATAGATGGAAGAATTGTAATCAGGAAAAGTATATTCTTTTAAATTTGGAAAGTGAATAGCTGTATTTGTAAAAGCATGTATCATATGTCATAGACAAACACCTACTAAGTAAGGATACTAACTGGTTAACTAACCAATGTGTATAGATAACTAACAAATGTGTATGTGTAATATGTGTCTTGTCTATCTATATGTTTACTTTATGACTTACTATCAAAGGGACTTAGCTATTGGAGACCGACTCCTTGGTATGAAAAGTAAATACCTTACTAAAAATAACATGTGTCTAGAAGTTTCTTCTTCGGGCAGGCAGAGTGTCTCTTGTGGTGGAGCACCTGCCTAGCAAGCATGAGGCCCTGAGTTCAAGCACCAGTACCACCCCCCCTCCTCCCAAAAAAAGGAAAAAAAACAAACTTGAAGGATTTACTTTAGGAACAGAAAAGAAGTGGAAAAAATTCATAAGTTTGAAAATTAGTTTTTCCTCCATGATATATTAATCTGAATTTGTTATTTAACAAAATATATTACAGCTCACCTTTTCCCCTTTGTATAAAGCCAAAATTACCATCCTACCATACATCTGTCTTTTCCCTTTATACATTGTCATATGGTACATGTGTGTTTTTTGTGTATATCAGGTGCTTTTTCTTAGATTCTGGTCTTAAGTCTCCTGGAGAATAGAGATTGCTTATATAATATTTTGTTTCCAAGTTAATAATGAATGCCTTCATGGTAAAAGTAGAGATGCTTAAATAACATGTAAAGATTGACCTTCCTTTCGAATAAGTACTTCCTAACTTGAAACTTAGTTTATCTATTGTTTCTTTCTTTCTTTTCTTTATTGGAAGAACACATTTGAGGCAGCTTAATACAATAGTCAGAATAGGAGATAGCATTAACTTCTAACATTTTGTAAAATTCCTTTGTTGCTGTAACAAATTATCAAATACAGTAGTTTAGGCTGGCACCCCTTGGCTGGCCTTTAATCCTACAACAACTCAGGAGGCAGAGATCAGGAACATAGTTCAAAGCCAGCTTGGGCAAATAGTTTGTGAGCCCCTATCTCAAAAATACCCAAACTGTGGAGGCTATCTTTTTGGCTCTTTGCTCTCTTCTCTCTTCCAATCCAAACAACAATGGGTTCGGTTTTTCTTACATCATGGCACGGTAACCTCTTCTGCCTCCCACATTTAGGGACCCTTGTGATTACATTGTGCCTGCCTGGTTAATCCAGGAGGATCTACACATTTTAATGTTGGATGATTAGCAAGCTTAATTCTATCTGTAACTTAATCCCCTTTGCTATATAAGTAACATATTAACAAAATTCTGAGATTAGAACGTGGACATCTTTGGTTGACTCATTACTTAGCCTTTTGTCATTGTTACTAAAACTAAACAGAGATGCAGCAGTAACATTATTCACTTAATTCAGAACTTTCTTAAAGTCTGAAGAGATGAGAGAAGTTTAACTTTCTCTTCATTTTATTAGGAGGAGCTCTTTTATTTATATTTTTCATATTCAGGAGACATTAGAGACTTTTGTCATTACTAGTATCGATAACTACTGTTTTCTACTTTTTTAGCCTAAATTTAAAGGAACACGACATTACCCATGATTAGCTATGTTTTAAATTTGCCTATATTTGTGAAGCTCTCTGAAATTTTAACAGAAATGTAGTAGAAGAGGAAGAGTGTATCTGTATAATCTGTCAGGCTTAGTCACTGAGGCATCATCAGATGCTATGCTCTTGAGTCTGAGATTTATTGATCAAGGTAAAGGAAAATTCATTGTATTTTGTGTAAAGCAAAGACAAAAGAAAACTACAAATGTGAATTTAGATTTGGATTTTTTTAACAGTAGTAAGATTCACACAACCTATGGTATCCACCAAACGGATGAATAAAGAACTTGTGTAATATACATACACAAACAATGAAATTTATTGAGCCTTTAAAATGAAGAGACTGATATTTGTGATAATGTGGCTGAAAATGGAGGACATTATGCTAAGTGAAATAAGTCAAGACATAAAATACTGTACAATCTCACTTACTTGTGGGCTTTTCAAAAATAAAGTTGAGGACTGGCTACGTGGCTTAAGTGATACAGCATGTGCCTAGCAATTGTAAGGTCTTGAGTTCAACCCTCAGTATCACCAAAAAAATAAACTTGAATAAATAGAAACAGTAGAACAGAGGTATCTGGGGTCAGGGAGAGAGAAGAAATGGGGAGAAGGTTGAAGGCACACATTTGCCATTAGGGAGGATAGGTAAGTGTAGAGATCATGTATAGCATGAGGACTGTACTTAATAACATTGTGTACTGAGGGGCTATGAGTGCAGCTCAGTGGTAGAACACTTGGCTTAGAACGCACAAGCCCAGGGTTCTATCCTAACATTGTGATAATAATAATAATATGGTGTACTGAAAGAGTAGATTTTAGGTGCTCTATAGTACACATATATGCAAAAAGGGTAACTGTAAAAGGGTAATATACATGTAAATTTGTTTGTACTAATCATTTCAATATATGTATGTTAAAACATCATTTTGTATATCTCAAACCCACCATTTTGTACATCTCAAATATATATAATAGAAAGTTAATTTAAAAAACACAACAGTAATATGATTTACTTGTTTGCTTTTTTTTTTTGCTTTGTCTTACCTAGTGGAGTTATTTTTCTTAATTACCCTCCTATAAATTCTTTTGATAGCTTTTATTTTTTTGTAAAGGTAGCTACAAGATTGTATATTACAGTGTAACAGTTCTTTATTTTTCATTTGCTGATAGATACATCAGTTGATTTAATTAGAAGATATGAAAGTGCTACATTTCACACTTACTTCTTTTTCTTTTGCGCACTTATTTTTTATAGGACCGGAAACTCCATGGTACAGCTCAGCAACTGCTCCAGGACAGCAAAACAAAAATAGAAGTCATTCGGATGCAGATTCTTCAGGCAGTCCAGACCAATGAACTGGCTTTTGATAATGGTGATGGAATAGAAATAAATTGTCATTATCTGTTATGGGCACACAGTGCTAACTAAATCCTACATAAGAAACAGACAGTGATTCAAAATTAAGGGGGAAGAGGGTTTTTTGTTTTTCTTTTTTGAGCTCTATACTCCTCATGTGGGGTGGACACTTTCAGCTATTTGGCCCTCATGTTTCAAGACGATACTGATCTGTAATGTACTTCTTCATTTTAACAAACTGTCAGGTACTTTTATCTTTAAAAATCTGTTGCCTATTTGAGAATGGCTTTGTTTTGTCTCTTTGTTTTTTTAATTCCGGAAAGAATGTTTATAGCTAGTTGTTAAATGTGGGATGAGAAAGTATAGTTGTCCCTCAATATCTGCAGGATATCCCAGGACCCAGTAGATCCTAAAGCCCATGGCTGTGCAATTCCTTTATATGAAATAACATAGTGTTTGCATATAATGTTTGCATACCCTCTCACATACTTTAAATTATTTCTAGGTTGCTTATACCTAATACAATGTCAGTGCTATGTGAATAGTTGTTATGTGGGAATGTTGACAAGAACACAAAATCTGTACATGTTCTGTCAACACACAGACTTTTTTCCAAATATTTTCATAGGGACAGTTAAATCCCCTGATGTGTGGAACCTGCAGATATGGAGGACCAATGGTATTTGAGTCTCATGATGTTATCTCAATATCTTCAATTCCGAAATCTTAATTTCAGACTTACAATTTATATACATAAAGGCTAAAGACTGCAGTATCATAGAAAATCATTTCTTTTTCATGATTTTTAATCGCTACATGTTTAAAAATCAAATGGTTCAACTTCAATAAATTTTGGGGCACTCTGAAGTAGTAGTAGAATGCCTGCTTAGCAACATGTGTGAGGCCATGAATTCTAACTGGGTACCACAAAAAAAAAAAGAAAGTACTGAAAACATGGACAGATTAATAAATAAATTTTGTTTTACCTCCTCTAGCAAAACCTGTGATAAGTCCTCTTGAACTTCGGATGGAAGAATTGAGGCATCATTTTAGGATAGAGTTTGCAGTAGCAGAAGGTGCAAAGAATGTGATGAAATTGCTTGGCTCAGGAAAAGTAACAGACAGAAAAGCACTTTCCGAAGTAATTTTAAGTGAAAATTTTAACTTATTTAATTTATTATTCAAAGAATGTAATTATTTAAATGAAAATAATTATCTCTTCCCTTTGCAAGGCTCAAGCAAGATTTAATGAATCAAGTCAGAAGTTGGACCTTTTGAAATATTCATTAGAGCAGAGATTAAACGAGCTTCCCAAAAATCATCCCAAAAGCAGTATTATTATTGAGGAGCTTTCACTTGTTGCATCGCCAACACTAAGTCCACGACAAAGTATGATATCCACGCAAAATCAATACAGCACACTGTCCAAACCAGCAGCATTGACAGGTATGCAGCACATATCCCTGTTTTTGTGGTCAGTTTTGTCAACAGCTGATCCTACATTAGTAATTGGGGGAGAGGGTGTGTACAGATTTTTTTTTAAATTTCATAAGATTCACATAATAAAATTTATTGTCATAACCATTTTGCAATATGGCAGAGGCAGTTAGTGTATTTATAATGTTGTGCAACAGTCTCCACTATCTAGTTCCAGAGTACTTTCCTTTTCCTAAAAGAAAACCATTACCCTTTAAGCAGTCACTCCCTTCCCCCCCTTCCTCCTAGCCCCTAGCCCCTTGCAGCCATTAACACTTTTTGTCTCTATGCATTTGTCTATTCTATATAATACATTGAAATGGGATTATGTAACTTTGTTCCTAACTTATTTAATTTAACATACTATTTTCATGGTTCACTCATAACATGCACCAGTACTCATTCCTTTTTATAACTGAATAATATTCTGTTTTATAGTTATACACCACATTTTCTTTATTAATTTGTCAGGATATTTTGGGTCTTCCTACCTTTGGGAAGATAGATAGGGGGGAAAAAAGAGGAAAGGAAACAAAAAAGATTCCAACAATTAGAAACCAAATTAAAAAGAAGTAAATAAAAGGAAAAAATAAAAACAAGACAAAACAGCTAAACAAAAGCAAATTGGATGATGGGAAAGAAACAAAACAAAAATGACAAACAAAAAAACACATATTTCTTGTTTGAGAGAAGTGTCCTTGTAGTCCCTACTTTTGTCCAAGTTAGTTCTTCTAGCTGCAGTTGTTACAGAAAGAGGGCTGTGGCAGGGGTCTTGGGAGGCAGATGGAACAAGGTGATTGACACTCTCCAGGCTAGTTCTCACTATTGTTTTGGATCTGCACAGCCTTGGTAAGTGGAGATTTGGGGGGTGGTGGGGGAGAAGGAGAAACTTCGTGTTGAAAGGCAGAGCTGAGCAGGTGTGAGTAGGGGTCAGACGGTAACTTCAAAGGGCAGGTTCACTAAACTCAGGGCCTTTTGTTGTCTTTCAGATCGCCCTTGCCCTCTCTATGTCTGCCTCTTTTGGCAGTCTCCCAGGCAGACACTGTAGTTCTGAGACCTGGAACTCTCCAGGCTGCTGTCTTTTAAATCCCCAGAGTTGCTACTTATGATTGTTTGCAGTCAAGCAGCTGCTGTAACTTGAGTTCTCAGTCAGTTTTGTTTCTTAAATTGACCTTATTCAGTGGAGTTGCTGTGGTGGAATTGGGTGGGGCGCCCACCTTAGGTGGGTTTTTTTGCTGTTTTTCCTTGCTCCTGGAAGGAACCATCAAATTATCCAATCCTCTCCCTTGCTAAGTTTGCCTTTGCTGGCAGAGTCTCACGTGGACATCGAGGAAGGGAGTTACAAAACTCTATGGGCTGTGGTTTTTCAAATTCCCTGAATTTCTCCATCTCAAAGCTTGCCTGCCTATAAGGAGCTTCAGATATCTGAGCTCTTGTTCTGGAAATTTTCCACAGGCAGTTAAGTAGGGTCACCAATTCCTTACCGTAGCTTCCTTTAACTTCTTAGCTCCATGCAAGTCAAAGCCTCGCTGCTGCCAGATGTCCCAAGACACCCTGAGCAGTGATTGCTCCTTGTTTTCAAGATATCCCAAGTACCTCAGACTTCATCCAAAGACCCTCTGTCAAGATGGTGCCTTGCCACAGCTCTCTGAGGTTGGGGAATGAGGGACTGTCTAGTTAACAGCTGGCCTGTTGTACAGGGGAAATTATACTGACTGATCACTGGAGTTGAGGTTTGCAGGCAGTGTAGTTATTGTCCCAGAGCCAGGTCTGCCAGTCTGCTGTGACAGAGGTAAAGGCTTCAACTACCCCTTCCCCAGGGGAGCTGGAACTGGAGCCCAAGCCACAAACTGTTTCTTGATTTACTTTGTCGCCTTTTTGATGCACTGTGTTTTTCAGATATCCTGTCACTCTTTTGTGTTTCTCTGTGCTTTTCCTCTCTTGGGTACTTATGTATGTACTCTCTTTGTTATCCAAACTCTTACTCATGGGGTCGGGTAGAGAAAACTTTTCCTCCACCATCTTGCCCCCCTCCTCTTTCTACCTTTTGACTATTGTAAGTATTGCCCCTGTTAACATGTGTGTGCATCTGAATACATGTTTTCAATTTTGACAAATACATACCTAGGGATATGATTTCTAAGTCATTTAGTAACTATATAAATGTTCGAGGAAGTAGGAAACTGTTTTCCACAGGTGTAATTATTCCTTTACTTATTTAAATTTTTATTTCACATTTGTTGGGCTCTGTTAGGTCTATGTATGTTTATAATTGTTACATCTTATTGATGGTTGACTCAATATGTGTCATTCTTTGTCTCCTACAGTGAATTTACTTAGCTTATTTTCCTGACATGAAACTTAGCAATCCTCACTTTCTCTTTTGGTTATTATTTGCATTGAATATGTTTTTTCTATCCTTTTACTTTCAGTCTCTATGTGTATGAATCTAAAATAAGTCTCCTTTAGGTAACATATTGGATCTTTTTTTAATCCATTCTGCCATTCTATGCTTTTAATTGGATACTCTCATCTATTTGCATTTAAGGTAATTAATGATAATATGCAATAAGTTCTACTGCTAACTTCTAGGAGTTGGGTTAACAATTTTAAAGATTTGTGGCACATTTTCCCACAAGATCGCCCTTACTTCAGACACAGCTGCAAGCTTGATGTTGCAAGATCACCTACACTTTTGACCAATAAATCCCAGGATACCAGTAGCTTTGGGTTTATTAATTCACGACACAACACAGAACTCAGAAAGCACTGTACTTACTATTGTAGTTGTATTATGAAGAATACAAAGTAGAATGCAAAGATATACAGGGCAAGACCTGGAAGATCTTAAACATGAAGCTTTCATGTTCTTAGGATACATCACCTTCCTACCATATCAGTATCTGTCACCAACTAGGAAGTTAACTTCAACATTGAATGACCTGGGTTTTTATTGGAACTTTTTACTATATGGGTGTGATTGAGTGAATCATTGCCATGTGAATAAATTCAACTGTAACCTCCTGCCCTGCCCTGAAGATCAGGAGGTCAGACTGCTATCATGTGGCTCAAAGCTCCACACCCCTGATGGTATGATGAGTCTTTCTAGCATGACCATCCTCCATCCCCCATCCTGAATCTGTTTGGGCCTACCATGAAGCAACTTGTTAGCATAAATTCAAATGTTGTCTATGGGTTCCACCATGAATAACAATGACACTCCTGTCACTGGGGCAAATCCAAGGGTTTAGACACTGCTGCACAGAGACAAAGAACAGAATTCTTTTTTATGCAATGAAAAGGCTTACTTCTGCCATTTTGCTGTTTGTTTTCTGTTAATATTACTCTTTCGTTTCTAAGCTCTTTTATTTCTTTTTTGTTCAGATTTTTCTAGTCTTTTTTATTCTTTCATATCTGTCTATATTTAATTAATAAACTTCATTTTTTAGAGCATGTTAAGTTCACAGCAAAATTGAACAGAAAATACAGATAGTCTTCATAAACCTAGTTCCCATGCATGCACAGCCTTCCCACTATCAACGTCTTGCATCAGATTGGTGCAGATTTTTATAATTGGTGCATCTGCATTGGCCCATCATTATCACCCAAAGTCCATCTTTTACATTTGCATTCACTCTGATGTCTTACATTGTATAGGTTTTAATGAATGTATGATGATGCTACTCTACATTGTAGAGTAGTTTCACTGCTCTAAAAATTCTGTTTTCTGCCTATTTATACCAACCTTCCCCCTTCATCTGTTCTCCTAACTATTGACAGCCCCTAATCTTTTAACTGTTTCTACAGTTTTGCTTCTTCCAGGATGTCACATAGTTGGAATCATACAGTATGTGATCTTTTCAGGCTGGTTTCTTTCACTTGGAAATATTTTCTTTGTTTTCCCTTCTTTTTATGGCTTGATAGCTCATTTCTTTTTAGTACTGAATATTTCATAATCTCAAGATACCAGTTTATTTAATGGTTTATTTAACCATTCACATCTTAGTTGCTTCCAAGTTTCAACAGTAATGAGTAAAGAACGCTGCAATAGATACCCATGTGTGCAGGTTTAAATTATTTTTTTCTTAGTGGGTGTCCTGCTGATTACATCTGACATCCTAAATTTATAACAGTCTTGCTTGAATTGCCTTCAGTAGCCTACAAAAATCTCTGCTCCTGTCCAGCTGAGTATTCCTCCATCCTTTGTATTATTGCCATAAATTATGTCTTTGTAACTATGTGTCTGTTAGCATGGATTATAATTTTTATGTATTTGTCTTCTGAATCATAAGGAAATAAGAATTAAAAACCAAAAATATAGTAATACTTTAACATTTACCTAGGGTGTTAGTTTTGCCTGTGCTCTTTAGTTTTCTTTGGTTTCAGGTTACTGCCTCTTGTCCTTTCACTTAAGTCTGAATGATTTCCTTTAGCATTTCTTTTCAACAGGTCTCCTAACAAGGAGCTACATTAATTTTTGTTTACATGGCAATCTTTAATTTTTTGTTTTGTTTTCAGATCATGGTTTTGCTATATATAGAATTCCTGATTAACTGTTTTTTCTTTTTGTACTTCAAAAGTGTCATCCTTCTCCCTCTTGACCTTTATACTTTCTGTTTGTGGTGCTGGGGATTGAACCCAATGCCTCACATGTGCTAGGGAAGTGCTGTCCTCTAGACACACATCCTGCTCATTTTATGCTTCTGATAAGAAATGCTCTTTTAATCTTATTGAGGATCTCTTATGAGTGATGAGTTACTTCTCTTGCTGCTTTCAAGAGTCTCTCTTTGTCTTTGACTTCTGATGGTTTGATTATAATGTGTCTGAGAGTGGTTCTCTTCAAGTTTAGCCTGTTTAGAATGCTTGAACTGCTTGTTATATAAGTTCATATCTTTCATCAAATTTGGAACATTTTCACCATTATTTCTTCAAATATTCTTTTTTCCCTCTTCTCCTTTAGGATTTCTAGTATGCTTATGTTTGCGTGCTTTATGGTATATCACATCTCCTTTAGGTCTTAGGCACTTTTATTTTTTTTCCCTGATCCCAAGACTAGAAAATTTTCAATTTTCCTGCCTATAAGTTGGCTAATTTTTTTCTTCTACCTACTCAAAGCTGTGGTTGTACCTTTAGTTATTATATTTTTCACTTCTAGAATTTGTGCGGTTCTTTTGTTTTTTATAATTTCTTTTGCCTTATTACTGCTCTGTATTTTTTACATTCTCCATATCTTTCTCTATAGTTTCTTTTAGTTTTTATTTTTTAGCATATTTAAGATAGTTGGTTAAAGTCTTTATCTAGTAAGTCCAGTATCTTGGCTTCCTCAAGGACAGTTTTTCATTTCACTTTTTTCTGTGAATATGTTAGCTTCATAATTCAAATATTCCCTTTCCCAAGGATACTTTCCTCATAAATCAAGTACTACTCTTCCCCACGATTTCTTTTTGCTGCTCTGTTAAATATAGTTGTTGGTTTAGTGCTGTTTGTAATTTATTCTGTAAGGACTGTATTCTTTGTCTCATGATCAATCCCTAAAATGTCTGTTTCATTTAGTGATGTTTTGACAGACATTTCCTTTAATGGCTGAAAAGAAAATATAAATTAATTATCTAGTCTTTTCTGCTGGACTCCATGGTGTCAGTATATTAGTCATAATTCCTTTTTTTGGTGGGGGGGAGGTGCAGTGTTGGGATTGAACCCAGGGCCTCATGCATGCTAGACAAGTGCTCTACCACTGAGCTATACCTCCAGCCCTGTTGGTTGTACTGTTATCTTTCACCCAGACAATTTACAACTCTGCCTTTGCTTGCATGAATTAGAGAGTCAATCAGAAGTGACAGGTTAAGACCTCAGGTCTCACAATTTCCCTTGCTGAGCATTTTCTTGGTTCTAATAAACCTTTGACTGTTTTCCACGATTCTGATAAAGGTGATCCTGACAGATTTGGGGTTTTTGTCTTGTTTTGTTTTTCTCCTTGTGTTTCTGTGGAGACACGGTCTTTAGACTTGCTACTCACCAACATTTTCTCTGATATCACTTACCATTGTCACTCTTCTATTTGTTCTAATGTAATACAGACGTTTACTTCTTGGATATTCTTGTTTTTAAATTTTAATATTCTGGGTTGTGAAGGTAAAGAATGTAGTTTTAAGCTATTTCTAATGTGGTTTTATATACAGTTGCAATTATGTCATTCTCATAAAAGAAACTTGTAGATGATTAATAAAGATCTTAATTCCCTCCAGACTTTTTTTTTCTAAATGAAAGCAGGTGGTAAACCTTGCCATGTCCTGATATATTGAAATTACTCAAATATTTAATAAGCTACCAGGATTTGAAGTAGTAGCCAGATGTTTTCAGTTTCCCCAGTATGACTTTTACAGCTGAGCATTTATAGTGGAAATGAGCAAAGTTTGCCAGTTTTAACAACAACAAAGGAAGTAAAACACAAACACAGCAAGTTGTTTCCTTTAAACTAAAATAAAAATGATACCCATAATGTTTAATGTTTTATCACTCTGTAGCATAACAAAACATGAAGATTGAGGTTCCATCCCTTCCCATCCAATAGATTTGAAACATAGTTTACACTTTGGAGAATTCACCTATTTTAAGTATACAATTTTAACATTTTTAGTAGATACATATGAATGTGTTTGTGACACTGTCATCAATACCCAGTTTTCAAAGCAATATTATAGAGGTGTTTTAGGTGTGCAGTGCACTACACATACTTAAAATCGATAGTCTTGCTTTTGTGGTTTCCAGTGAGGAGTGTTCTGCTACCCTAATCTGTTTCTCTGTCTATGACATGTTTTTTTTCCTGCTGCTTTTAGTGTTTTCTCTTTATCACTGGTTTTGAAAAATTGGATTATGATGTTTTGGTTTGGTTTACTTCTCTGTTTAGTATTGTAATTCTTAGGTTTATGGTTTTCATCACTTGGGGAGAATTCTTAGTCCTTCTCATTGCCATTTATGTATCCTGTTGCCTATTCGCTGCACTTCATCGGGGCTTCAATTAAACAGATGTTAGGCTACTTGAAGTTCAATTCATAGTTCACATATGCACTTTGATTTTTCCCATGTGAAGTCTTTATTTTTGATCATTTCTATTCTGTCTTCATCTTTTTTTGGGGGGTGGGTGGGACTGGGTTTTAACTTGCAAAGCATGCACTTTACCACTTGAGCCACACCTCCAGCCCATTTTGCTTTGGTTTATTTGGAGATGGAGTCTCATGAACTGTTTGAACTGGCTGACCTCAAACCTTGATCCTCCCGATCTCAGCCTCCCAAGTAGCTAAGATTATAAGCAGGAGCCACCAGTGCCCGGTGTATGTCTTCATCTTCAGTAACGTATTCTCATGCCACCTTTTATCTGCCACCAAGTCCACTCAGTGTGTTTTTTAAGAAATCTTGGACATTGTCATTTTTATCTCTAGAAATTTGGTTTAGGTCTTTTTATTAATTGTTACATGTCTCTTTACTCAGCTTTAGAACAGATGGAATATAATTAAAATTGCTTTAATGTCCTCACTAATTCTAACATCCATGTCAGGACACTAAATTTGGGTTAATTTTTAATGCAGCAATACAAAATGAAACACTTGATAATCTTTGATCAGATGGCAGACATTGTGAGTTTTACCTTGGTAGATACTGGATATTTTTCATTCCCGTAAAATAATCTTAAGCTTTGCTCTAGTTCGCAGTTGCTTTTAGTATCTACAGATCTATGGTTCCAAGGAGACCACCATTGAGGAAAAGCTTCAAGTGCTCAGGATGCATACAGCTCAGGAATACTGCAGATGCTTGCTTCACGTTTCTCCTAACGCTGCCCGTCTTCTGCTAAAGACATGATATGCTTTAATAAATCTCAAATTTTCACTTAAATTAAGCACATTTATTTTAACCTTGCTATTTGGGAGGCTTATTTCCACAAAATTAAGGACAAGGAAAATGCTTCAGCAACTTGCATAATGATTTAAACACAACTGATGGTAATTCAGGACTGACTGAAAGCTTCTCCAGTTAACTCAGCTATATAATGCGCGCGGAGGAATTTAAAAATTTTTATGAAATTTCTTTGTACTTTAAAAAAGTTTTTCTGACTGTGCTTGGTCAAAATCACGTATAATAATCCACAGATAATTTAAGCTGCTTTTGAGTTTTGGGTTTTTTTAAGTATCATATGGATAATTGTTCTTTCTGATAGGACAAGACTCTTAGTATTCACTCTAGTACTCCATGAATTCATATTTTATTTTCTTTCTTTTTTTTTCCTTCATGGTCCTTGCTTATTGAACTCAGGGCCTTGCACATGCTAGACACATACTCTACTACTTGAGCCATGCCCCAGTCCTGAATTGATATTTTCAACCACAGTTGGTAAGGACACTATTCCTGCCTGTGTCCACTAAGTATGGTTCTTTGTTGTCTGTTCAGGTGTTCCTGTCTCAGGTATGCTCTTAACAGGCAGGTGCTAATTCAGTACTTTGAATGTATATATGTGGAGGGGTCTCTGTTTCTGACAAGCTCTTTCCTTTCCCCTGTAAACTTGAGCTGCCTTGATCTTCTTGTGATCTCACTGTTGGCTCCACCTGAATTCTCCCTCCCTGTGCATTTGCAGCAATCTCAGGACTTATCTCATTTGTTTTCCATCCCTCAAGAATTGCTCTTCTTCCATTGCCTGGTGTCCATTGTCTTTAACACCTTTTTTCCCCATGGGTTTTTGTTTTGTTTGTTTGTTTGTTTGTTTTAGTTGTTTGAATTAGGAGATTTTCTAACCAACTTCTTGATTAGAATTGTTAAATCCTTCAGTTACTTTTCAATAATTTAAAACATTAAATAAAATTAAATTTTAAAAATTTAGTGAGATAGCTTTATTAGGAAATATTCCTCCTAAAATGTTATGCTGTGTGCTATAGCTAAAATTTTAAGACAGGAGCAACATTTTTAATTCTAAAGTTAGCCCAAATAATGACAAAGCCATGTCTCCAGATAGCCTAAGTTGTACAGTTCCACAGTTTCATTTTGAACACATTTAGTATTTGCCTAAGGAAATTGCAGTTATTTTATGCTTAATTACAATCTGTATTTACTTGATTAACCTGTCAGAAGGGAAAGATAATATGGTAATTTCACATCTCAGAACAGGAACTGTTTATTTATGCAAAAAAAATCCTATAAAGTCTTTTTCTGTGTTAATGCATTAACTACTAAACACAATAGTTATTCATAGTCAGTATTCCTTGTTTCTAATTTCTGTACATTATTTTAATAGGTATATTATTTTCTTTGTGTTTCCCCTCTCATATTCTCTTTCCACATAACTCCATAATTCTTCAATGCAACTCTAAAACTATAAAATGAGAGTTCACATACATAAGATGTTTATGTAACCTTACTTTATTTACTACAGAAAACTTTAGGAGATATTCTTTCTTTCTTTTCCTCTTTTTCCTTCCTCTTCCCTTTCTCCTTCCTTCCTTCCTTCCTTCTTTCCTTCCTGCCCTCCCTCCCTTCCTTTCTTTATGTCTGCCTGGTTTTTTATTTTTGTGGGTTTTTTGCAGGTATGTCTCCTAGTGTAGACCAGGTTGACTTGGAACATGTGTAGCTCAGGCTCACCTCAAACTCTAGGCTGGACTACATAGCAAGACACTGTTACCAAATAAAGAAAAAAAACAAAAAAAGTGTCTTCATGATTTCTGAGTTAAACAGGAAAGGTGATAAAGGTGATGGATTCCTCACAGATCCTCTAGGAGAAGAATTTTTGTTATTTTAGCAATTTTTTTCTCATTTTTCAATAGGTAACAGGCATAGTTCTATATATTAGGAATGATGTTATTTGATATTTATGTTGTAGGTACATTGGAAGTTCGACTTATGGGATGCCAAGATATACTAGAGAATGTCCCTGGACGGTCAAAAGCAACATCGTTTGCACTACCTGGTTGGAGTCCAAGTGAAACCAGATCATCTTTCATGAGCAGAACCAGTAAAAGTAAAAGTGGAAGTAGTCGAAATCTCCTGAAAACTGATGACTTGTCCAGTTCAGTAGCCATCTTTTTAAAATCATACAGCAAATTAAAGGGATTAAGTCAGGGGTTTATAAATGGGGCCAGAGGAAACAGAGAAGTGTCCAAATGGGATTTTAAAAACTTGAAAGATATAATTTCTGAAATTTAAAAATACTGAAACCTATAATAATAGGAAACAAATTTTAATGTATTAAAAATATATGAAAATGCTGATAGAGTGGCTCAAGTGATAGAGTGCCTGCCTAACGAGCATGAAGCCCTAATACAAGTACCACCAAAGAAATTGTATGTGTGTGTGTGTGTGAATGAATAACAAATAAGATTCTTTAGGAAGAATGAAATATTGAGCATTACTTTTCATGCCGACTGAAGGTATATAGAGACTAAGGCTTGTCCTTGTAGTAGGATCCCATCTTGATTCTTTCAGTGGTGTAGTGACACTTCCAAGCTAGCATTGAAATTTTGGTAACAGCTACTGCTGGACCAGACCCTTATATGCTGGGATGATAATCCAGTAGTCAGCTTTGATAGGACATGGAAGGACAGAGTTGAGGATAGTAAAATGCAGGAAGCTTAGGAAGACATTCAAGAATATAACTTTACATTATATATAAATGTGTAACTGGGGGTGTAAGGCACATGACTAGTCAATAGAAACAGGTGAGTTCGTCTGTGCTTTCCTGTGTTTAGAGAGAAATATTTGGGAAAATGTGAAAATGCATTATTTGAAACAAATGTAGAGGGGTAAAAAAAGTGGATGATCAGTATTAAATACATGCAGTGTGGTAAGCAGCTACTCATCACCTGTTAGTCCTTTAGTCACTTTCTTATACATACAAAATAGATAGCAATTACTATTTGTGTTTCCATCAGACACAAAGGATAATTTAGGAAGGTCTAGTAGGGGTGTTTATAGATAAATAGATAGATAGATAGATACCCACTTAAGATCAAAAGCTTCAAATTAATTATGAAACACTTTATTTTCAAAGTCTTAAGACTTTGATGCTATTAAATAGTGGTACCTATTAAAATTTAAAGGTTTATAAGGTTTTTAAACAGATTTATGAATTTAATTACAGATGATGTCTGTGCTGTTTTGAAGCTAGATAATACTGTCGTTGGTCAAACTAGCTGGAAACCCATTTCCAATCAGTCGTGGGACCAGAAGTTTACACTGGAACTGGACAGGGTAAGATAAGGAATTTTTACTTGAATTTTCATTGTGTTTGTAATTCATTTAAAATGTAAGTTTTATTTTTTGGAAGACTTGAAGTTTTATTTATAACAAGAATAAAAGATCTTAGGTATTTTTGATATTTATCATTTGAGAAGTTATATATGTAAATCTACCATAAAATGTAAGTGAATACAGATTGCTACAATAACTTTCATTTATACAGTAACTATTTCAAAAAGTCAGCACCCAGGTGAAATCTAATGTTATTTTATTTATATGTGTGTATGGCAGGAGTAGGGTGTAGGGAAGGCTGCTTTTTTGGATTTTTTGGTTTTTTTGACAGGATCTCAGCCCAGGCAAGCCTGGAACTCTCTGTGTAACTCAGCCTGGCCTCAAGCTTTCTATCTTCCTGCCTCAGCCTGTGCTAGGATTATAGGCATGCACCACCATGCCCAGCTATTTATTATTTTAATATTGCAGTCTCACCACTAAAGCAATTCTACTGACTCAGGATTTGTAGGTTATTATAACAAAACTGGATTTGAAAGGATTTCTTATCAACTAGCCTTTCATATGTCTCAGTGACTTTCATGAATCTGTGACTGTGGAACCCAACAGAAAGTAACTTTGTTTTTTTTTTTTTGTTGGGGGTGTTTATTTTATTATTCATATGTGCATACAAGGCTTGGGTCATTTCTCCCCCCTGCCCCCACCCCCTCCCTTACCACCCACTCTGCCCCCTCCCTCTCCCCCCGACCCCCTCAATACCCAGCAGAAACTATTTTGCCCTTATTTCTAATTTTGTTGTAGAGAGAGTATAAGCAATAATAGGAAGGAACAAGGGTTTTTGCTGGTTGAGATAAGGATAGCTATACAGGGAGTTGACTCACATTAATTTCCTGTGCGTGTGTGTTACCTTCTAGGTTAATTCTTTTTGATCTCACCTTTTCTGTAGTTCCTGGTCCCCTTTTCCTATTGGTCTCAGTTGCTTTTAAGGTATCTGCTTTAGTTTCTCTGCGTTAAGGGCAACAAATGCTAGCTAGTTTTTTAGGTGTCTTACCTATCCTCACCTCTCCCTTGTGTGCTCTCGCTTTTATCATGTGCTCAAAGTCCAATCCCATTGTTGTGTTTGCCCTTGATCTAATGTCCACATATGAGGGAGAACATACGATTTTTGGTCTTTTGGGCCAGGCTAACCTCACTCAGAATGATGTTCTCCAATTCCATCCATTTACCAGCGAATGATAACATTTCGTTCTTCTTCATGGCTGCATAAAATTCCATTGTATATAGATACCACATTTTCTTGATCCATTCGTCAGTAGTGGGGCATCTTGGCTGTTTCCGTAACTTGGCTATTGTGAATAGTGCCGCAATAAACATGGGTGTGCAGGTGCCTCTGGAGTAACCTGTGTCACAGTCTTTTGGGTATATCCCCAAGAGTGGTATTGCTGGATCAAATGGTAGATCAATGTTTAGCTTTTTAAGTAGCCTCTAAATTTTTTTCCAGAGTGGTTGTACTAGTTTACATTCCCACCAACACAGAAAGTAACTTTGTACATGGTGCATATAAATCTGCACTGAAAGATTTATTTATTTTGGTGATAGGTTTATTTTAGATTTAGATTCATCCATTGGTGTGGTATGAATTTAAATTTATCAAAATTTAATTGTAATTTGATCTAAAAATTAAGATATTAAATTTTTTAATTTTAGTATTCGCATTCATGTTGTGTAGATGAAATTTTAATAGCTACACTTATTATTGAAAGCAGATTTACAGTGTTTAATGATGATGCATACTATGAAAGTATTTTGGTGATTATGCCCCTAGTTTGTACTTGTAAAATGTTTTTCTAATTTATTTTGTTCTGTCTTCAGAGTGAGCATCCTAGTTCAGGCATGTATTGTTTATTGCTTTTCTTAGTTCAAAATTGTATCTGCCACTGAATGTTGTATGTACTTTGTACGAAATCTTTAACCTTTTATGTATGCCAGTTTCCTTATCTTTAGACTGTCTACTTAATAAAATTTATGAGGACTATATGTGAAGATTAAGTTCTGTAAAAATCTTAGAATAATGGTAAGAACTTAATTAATGTTGGCTGTTGTTCACTAAAATAATCTACTAACTAATCTCCTTGTATCTAAATACCAGACTTAGCTTTGATGAATACTCTTTTATCCTGGCATTTATTCTCAGGTTTATGATGCATTCATTTATTCTTAATCAACAAGTATTCATTGATTCCAGCTGTATTTCATATACTTCTGGGTGATAAATTAACAATAAACAACATAAACAAGGTCTCTCCAAGTTCCCTCAAGGAGCTTGCACTGCATTGACTTTCCAGTAAATATCTGATTAATTGCAGGCTTTTTACCATTTCATCAAAACTGTCCACTGGCTCATTTTCCAGACATACCTTTATTTTGATGATCTCAGTTTAAAAGATAACTGAGGACGTGCTAGCATAAGGTATCTTCATTTTTTATAAATGGGCATGGGAAATACAAATCAGAAAATTTGACCTTGTAATTTGTGTGAAATACAAATTTGAGGGAGGAAAAACTAAAAGCATGTAAACTGGCAGGAACCTACTCCAGTGACATAACCATCATGTGATGAGAGTTTGAACTAAATATGGCAGTAGCAATAGGAAAAAAAAACTATGTGGGAAACAAAAAAAATCAAAATAACTTAATAACCAATTGGATCTGAATGTAGAGGAAGGAATTTGTCTAAAAGTAGCAAAGGAAATGATGCCACAGAACTTGGAGGAGATCAATATTGGACGAGAATGGGTTCTGCTTTACTAGTTTGTTAGTAGTTAAATAAACATGTGGAACTGGAGGTCATGGCTGGAGTTCTGGTTAGAGGCCGTAAGTGAACCCTACCATCCCATTCTGTAAGATCATGTAATTCATTCTTCATATATTTATCGATGATAATCTTACATATAATAGACATTTACTAAGTTCTGCTGAGGTTTGTGGAGATAATACATAGCCATAGCTGTAATGGAACTCTTCAGGGTTAATAATCACTGATTGTTCAGTGCCAAGCAGCGTTCTAGATGCTGATCCTGATTGGTCAAAGTTCCTATGCTTATAGAGAGGGAAAATAAATTATAAAGAAGTGTTTTAAAAGTTACACATGCAGTGAAGGAAATAGAGTCTACTGATGGGAGGGAGTGGGAGTGAGGAAGTACTTCACATAGTAATTAGGGAAATTCTCTTGAGGAGACCAAACTTGACCTGAGACCTGATGAGTAAAAAGTGGATAGAGTTGCAAAGATCTAGAGAGTGTTCCCAACAGAACAAACAAACACACCTCCCTAAGGTAGCGGAGAGCTTGGTGTGCTACAGAAAGAAAAATTGTGAGGTAGAAGAGTAGTCTGAAGTAAAACAGCAGAGGGAGGTAGGTGCCAGATTAATAATAGAGACTTTAGAGGCTATGGGTTGGAAGAGAAAGGGCTTTTTTTGTTGTTGGTATTGTTTTACCATTTGAGACAAGATCTCACTATATAGCCCCAGTTAGCCTAGAACTGGGGACAGCGCTCAGGCTGGCCTCAAACTCCTAATCTTCGCAGGCATGCACTACTACTCTTTTGAAGGGCTTTTGATTGAGGGAATCAACGTCCTCTTGTTTTACCTATGGTGAATGAATTGATAAAAAATAAGTACCATCTACGATAGAAGGTAATAAAAGTTACCCATAATAGGAAAGAATTTATTTACTTTTATTATTGTGCTGGGTAAAGTTCTTATAATATATCAAATATATCATACTTGAATTCACCCCCTCCACCATTCTCCTTTATCCCCCCTCCCCTAATGGGAGAGAGTCAGAAGCAATATCCACAGGTAGAAGGAAGAAAAAAGATTTGCCAAAGAGAAGTGGAAAACTTTGAGTTGGATCAGATCATACATAGCACATTATATAAACTCTTCCAAGTAAGAATTGCCAGAATGTGAGATGGTGAATGTGCTGTTACATATAGAGCAATTGAGGGGAAATGGACTTAAAACCTATTAAAGAAGAGTTTTAACAGAAACTGGATAATTATCTTTAAAACTGAATTGGAACATGTGAAGAAAGAATGAGACTAACAATAGCAGTGGGTTTCATTTGAGTGTCAGCACTGTCAGTCGGCAGTGACTTTGTGGAGCATACCCTGAATGACCTTTCCTGGGCGGGCTCAGGCCTTGAGAGGTTGCTCTGATCCAGCAGCAGTTTTACCAGGTGCTTGGGGAAGAGATCAACTATGAACCTCATGGCTTTGAAAGCAAGAGTTAGTGCTTGGCAGGATTTCACTCCAGTACAATGAAGAATAATACTATTCATAAATGCAGTAAGCTATTATATTTACTTTCATTAAAGTCTAATAACTCATAGCAGACATTAAAATGGAGACATTAAGGACACTTTTGTGTCAGAAAAGTGTTATACTTCTGAGATTTTTTTCAACCCTGAGATTTTTCTCCTTGAGGGTTAGAGAAGAATTAGTATTACATGTTATACATTAGCTATTTAAATAGCAACACCAGTATAATTTAGTCAAGCTTCTTGGAGAGAGAAATATAGTTGGGGTTGTTAATGTTTATAGTTACATTCTTCATGTCTTATAGTCCATCTTCTACTTATTAACTGTTTGATAGTGGGGCAACTTAGTGAAACAAATGGGACTAAGTAAATATAAGAATGTTAGGAAGAAAAATTGAAGTGGTGTATATATAACACCTTGCATTATCCAATCATTCAATGATATTATTTCTTTGTTTTAACCCTAAGCTTTGAAGTATAACTATAGATTTTAATCTGATAAAAGGGCATTTCAAGTAATTGGTTGAATGTCATTTTCATTCATTTCACAGACTACTTAAAAGTAGTTCAGGATTTTGATGGGTGATACCAAAAGGAAGGGGCCTGGGGATGTGGCTCAGTGGTAGAGTAGAGCACTTGGCTAGTATGCATGAGCCCCTGGGTTTGATATCAGCATCACACACAT